CATGTCTACATACTGTGGTATACTTTGTCTTGTTTTTGAGCTGTATCATTATTTTCCTATTTTGTTTTAGTTTTTGAGAAAAGATCTCAGTGTGTGGCCCTGCTTGACCTGGAATTCCCTGGGTAGATCAGGCTAGCCTCAGACTCAAAGAGATCCTCCTGCCTCTGCTACCTGAATGCTGGGGATGAAGCTATTTGCCTTCACGTTTGGTTAATAACACTTTTTTCAGAAGAGGTCTTCTTTTTCTCCTTCTGTTGTTTTTGTTTTTGTTTTTTGTTAATCCCTCTGATAGTTTATAATGAAGATGAGGCTATAGAAATGATCCCTGCCATCTTTCCCTCCTTAGGCTATTAAGTCATTGAAAATTCATTGTCTTTCTAAAATGTGTGTTATGATTATATTCTTTCTATGGCATAATTATTATGTAAACTATATATTGATGTGTGTATATATACGCATACATCTGTGTGTGGGGTGTGTTGTTTGTGTGTGTGTGCCACCATTTGCGTGTATAGATCAGAGGACACCCTGGTAAGATTTGATCCTTACCTTCCACCATGAGGATCTTGGGAATGAAAGTCAGGTTGTCAGGCTTGGTCACATACACCTAGTCAAGTGCTGTGCTGTCCTGGCAACCCAAATCCCAAATGACTGCTATTTTGTGACTTATTCTGTTGTGACATTTCGTGCTCCGGACTGAGGTTGGGGCACACACGTGAGCGTGCACTGGGTTTGTTTTAGAGCTTATTGGAAAGTGATGTTGAAAGCACTGCTTCGTCTCCACGCGGAGTGAAGAGATCCAGACTGCGAGCGTCTTCTGAAGTGGCTGAGACAGATGAGGAGAGTGGCATGTTGTCAGAGGTAACCCAGCGTCAGACAAGGGAGACTTTAGACATTTATATGCGCAGTGGCTTCTTTTATAAATGGTGGATTTGCCAATGTTAATGGTGGGTTGTCACCTTTTCAAAGTTCTTGGACTGGAGAGAATGAAGAGCTAAAGTCATGGTCAGAGAAGTTTCCTGAGTTCCGTTAAGGGTCAAATGTGTGCAACCCATGTTTTAAGTACTGTCTTTAAAGCCAAGTAGTGTTCTGTTTGTCTCGCTGAAGTAGGATGAGACCTAGTTAGATCCGTGTGTTGAAATGGCCATTTACCTGTCTCCATCTAGAAAAGAGGAAAACGGCCACATTGACTGCATGCGAAGACCGACTTTCCCTCTCTTGCTTTCTTCCTAACACAGTGTCCTTTTTAACCAGGTTGAGAAAGTCACCACACCTGCTGTTAGGCACATCAGTGCTGAGGTAGTGCCCATGGGGCCCCCACCTCCTCCAAAGCCAAAGCAGACCAGGGATAGCGCTTTCATGGAGAAGTTAAATGCAGTAGATGAGGAGCTGGCTTCTAGTCCTGTCTGCATGGGTTCTTTCCAGGTAAGCACCATGACTCTGAATTGCTGAGATGTTCTGAGTGATGGGTATTTAATTTCTCATTCTCAGATATGGTGATGGAGCTGACAGAACAATTACATTTAAATTTTCCTGTATTTGTTGTGGTATCTTTTGTCTTTGATTCTCTTGCTTAGTTTGTGCTGTTTTTCTCAAGTAAAAAAGGCAGTGTTTCTGTTTCTATTTTTCATTATTATAGCTATTTTGTTAGTTATTAGTTTAATGATGATGATTAATATTAGTTATACTTATAATTAAATTTGTCTTTTGGTGACAGTGTCTCTCCATGTAGTGTTGCCTATAGTGGAACTATCTCTGTCGACCAGCCTGGCCTCAAACTGAGAGATCCTCCTGTCTCTGCCTCCTGAATGTTGAGATTATAGGCGTTCATCACCCAGCCTGGTGTCTTTTTTTTTTGTGTGTGTGTTTTAGAGACCTTGAAGGCCTGGAACTTGATATGTAGGCCTGGCTGGCCATACACATGAGTCTGTCCTCATGCCTTAGCTTCCTAGAATGCTGGAATTATGGGTATGCACCAGCATGCCTGATGGAGAATGGCACTTTCTGAGAAAGGAATAAATTGTGGGACAGTATGTAAAACTGGGAAGATAAGATGGCTATAGTGGCACATGCCTTTAGTCTCAGCTCTAAAACCAAAATTAAAAAAAGGTAATGTGAAGGAAACCTAAAATATTTCAAAATATTTGGAAGGTACTTTTTGATAAGTGACTTTCCACTATAATAAATTTTAAAAAAATCTTAGAATTCTGATGTTGGACAGATGGTTCAGTGATTAGAAACAGTGATTCCAGGGGTGGTAGTAGTGGTGGTGGTGATGGGTAGTGGTGCACAGCTTTAAACCTAGCACTCAGGAGGCAGAGGCAGGAGGACCTCTGAGTTCCAGGCCATCCTGGTCTACAGAGTGAATTCCAGGACAGCCAAGAGTACACAGGGATACCCTGTCTTGAGAAAAAAAACAAGACAACAACAAATACTGGGAACCTCAGGTTCAATGCTCAGCAGTCCTGCAGCCACAACTGCCTCAAACTCCCCACACCTTCTTTTGGCCTTTGTTGGCAATGCTTGTAAATGGTAAATGTCACACCTGTAAAATTACCCATGCATGTAAAAATAAAAGTCTCTAAACTGAGGACTCACAAAAGGGTTCAGCAAGTAAAAATACTTGGCAGCCAAACCTGATTATTGATTACATTTCCCAGAATCTACCGGGTGGAAGGTGACTCCCATAAGTTTTGTGACTGTCATATGCTCATCAGTACATGAACAAATGTTCACAATACATAAATGCTTTATAAATTTCCTTGCTGGGCATGCTGGCACATGCTTTAGTCCCACAACTAGGGGACTTAATGATGAATTCCAGTCAAGCAAGGCTATGTGGTAAGACTCTGTCTCAAAACACTAAAAAAACAAAAATAATCCCCCCAGAAAACCTCACCCCTGAAGTTGCAATACCTGTCATCCACTTAGAAGGTGGAGGATAGGAAACAATGTAAGACCAGCCTGAGTTCGTGAGACTTACACACAAAACTGAGGATAGAACACAGAAAATGGTGATTGACACCCATATAGTCTGCCATGTTAGGGGAATGTACTAGGGAATGCCCAAAATGGAAATTCTGTTGAGACAGGCTAGTGGCAGGTGGATCTCTTTGGGTTAAGGGCCAGCCAAGTATGGATAGAGATTTCTAGACCAATTATGGCAAAATATTATGACTTTGTCTAAAATAATAATGTTAGCATGATCGTGTTTGATACATTTTAATGCTGCAGGGATGATTCAACATATACAAATCAATAAATATAAGCTGTGCAGTGGTGTCTCATCCCTTTAATCCCAGCACTGGGGAGGCAGGGGAGACAGATCTCTGTGAGTTCAAGGCCAGCCTTTTCTACCAAGTAAGTTCCAGGATAGCCTGGGGTGTTACACACCAGGGTTACACAGAGTAACCTTGTCTTGAAAAACCAACAACAACAACAACAAAAAAGGGAAATTAGTAAACATAATGTGTGATGTAAATGTACCTAAAGATTGAAAGCACAGTCAGATCCGTGGATGTGGAAAGGCTTTTGAGAAAATGTTTTATCTCTTCCTGAGAGCCACATGAAGGAACACATATCAGTATCATATACCTATCCCCATCCTAACAGAGAAAAATCAAACATTGCCACTAAGATCCGGAGGGAGGCAAAGGGGTGTTCACTTCTCCATCCTTGCTCAATATAGTGCAAGTTTAGCTAGGGTAGTAATGTAAGATAAAGAAAGTATAGGGATTTGCAGTGTGGTACACGCCTTTAATCCTAGCACTCAGGAGATCAAGGCAGACAGATCTCTGTGATTTTTGAGACCAGCCTACAGAGTGAGTTCCAGGACAGCCTCCAAAGCTACACAAACAAATCCTGTCTTGAAAAACCAAAAAAAAGAAAGAAATTATAGGGATTTGAAAGAATAATTTACATTTGATATACTGTATTGATTTATACCCTTTATAAGTGTGAGTGTTATGTCATATAAAATGTATATGTATTTCAAAGCTTTTATAAATGTTTTTGAAATGTTTATTTTAAAACTGTTGACTGTGTTGGGGAGATGGCTCAGCAGTTAAAGAGTGCTGGCTGCTCAAGTAGAGGACTTGCATTTGGTTCCCAACACCGCACATCTGTAATCTCAGTTCCAGGGTATCCAGCTCCCTCTTCTGTGGGCATTTCACATGTGTGATCCACATGCATACGTGCAGGTAACAGAGACACACTCATAAAAATTAATATTTTGTTAAGATTTTTATTTATGAGTGTTCTATCTGCATGTATACTTTTATGCCAGAAGGCATCAATCAGATCCCACTGTAGATGGTTGTGAGCCACCATGTGGTTGCTAGGAATTCAACACAGGACCTATTATGGAAGAGTAGCCAGTGCTTTTATTTTAACCTCAGTGCTATCTCTCCTGCCCCTAAAAATAAGTTTTTTAAAAAAAATTATCATACTTAGCTGGCAGATCATGAGCCATGATCACAAAGGTGGCTTATGCATTGCACACCAGATGTACTGACCCCTGAGATTTCTCCAAAGCTGGGAAATTTGAGTGCATAATTTGTGATAGTGGGGAACTGTGTTGACACTCTCCCCTGTAGAGAAACTTTTGTATTTAATGAAAAAATAAAAAAATTAATCAACAACCATAACTGACAACAATTGAAAGTTAGATTCAGAACAAAGTAAATTGTTTCACTGTAGTTTTGTTTGTTTTTGTTTATTAAGACAGGGTCTCACTGTACAGGCCTGGCTGTTTTGGAATTCTGTATGTAGACCAGCCTGGGTGTGAATTCACAGAGATCTGCCTGCATCTGCCTCCCAAACGCTGTAATTAAGGGCTTGGGCTACCACACCCAGTTAGAAAGACAGGAAACTACACTGTCTGGAGAAGAGAACTAGGTTTTTAAGTAGGGTGTGTTGCAGAGGGTGGAGTTTGGAGTTTGGAGAATTTGAAAGCATTATTTTCACCTACTGGATGCTTTTTCTTTCTCCTTTGACCAGCCCATGGATGGTAGTCTCATTGCATCCCGAACTCGGTCTAAGATGCCCCTGAAAGCTGTTTCTCTACGGCGACTAGAAGCTGAGCTTCAGGCTCCAGATATCACCCCGGATATGTATGACCCAAATACAGCTGATGATGAGGACTGGAAGGTGTGGCTGGGGGGCCTCTTAAATGATGACGTGGAGAACGAGGGTGAGTGATTTTGTTTGAGGTTATTAACTGCTTGGTTCTACTCTATCTTTTGGTTGGGAAATATTGTTACAATTTGGAAACTTTAATAGGGGGTTCCTGACTAGGCATGTTAGCTCAGACTTGTTTCAGCTATGTGGGAAGTTGAGACAGGAAGGTGCTGCATGAGGCTATCCTGGAGAACATAGCGACACTGGTCTCAAACAAAAGGAAGAGATAGTAGAGGCTGAGGTTATAGAGGGAGAACATGTACTTAGCACTTAGGAGGCAGCTGGGTTTCATTTCTAGCCTCCAAAATCAAGGGAACAAAGAATAAACACCAAAAAAAAAAAAAAAAAAAAAAAATCATGACAGAAAAAAGTTTTTGATTTTTCTTTGTTTGCATATCAGAATCGACATAGAGGATTTCTATGACATCAAATGGTAGATTCAGCAGGCTAAGGAATCTGCCACCACGCTGATGACCTGAGTGCAATCTCCAGAACCCACATGGGGCAGGGGACAACGGAATCTATTAAATTACCCTGTGTGTGTGTGTGTGTGTGGGTGTGTGTGTGTGTGTGTGTGTGTGGGTGTGTGCGTGTCTCAGTGTGTGTGTGTGTGTGTGTGTGTGTGTGTGCGCGCGTGCGTGCGTGTGTCTCAGTTCTCACATCTTCTTCTGCTTTAGGTGCCAGTCTCAAGCCTCAGGCTGCCCCACCTATACATTTGACCCTTCCTTGCATTTGAGTAATTAATTTAATTTGAACTAGAACTCAGAGGATCTTGTCTGTGGTTTAGTATGAAGGGATTTACAGACATGTAGATAGAGAGATACAAAGGAGATACAGGGGAAGGTGTCCATGTTCTCAATGAGCACATACCTTCCAGGGATCTCAAGTGTTCAGCTGTCTGGAAACACTCAGCCATACCTTTTGGTTTTATGGAAACTGTTGTTTAGCATGATTGGAAAAGACTGGTATAGACGACCAACCAGGGTTATCTTTAGACGTTGTCTGTTGAGGTTGGTGACTCTTCTGTACAACATAACTTTCCTAGTTTATGACCCAAGACCTCAAGCAGGTTCTTATGACTAAGATAGGTTGGAGAATTTCTTATGGGCATCCAATGGCTAGAGAAGAATGGAGGTTGTGATCTGGGCTTGGTGAGAGAGGAGTAGAACTGTTGTAGGACACCAAGTATTTGTCATAATTTTAAACATATTTCAGGATTCATTTAATTCATATTTAGATGGAACTATTTTTTATGGTAAGGATCACGGCATAAAAGTGCACAATTTGTGTGTGTCCATGGGTTTGTGGTCTGGTTTTTGCCTATGGGGCTCTAGGATTACATCTGTACCTCCATGCCAGCCTTTTTACTTGCATTTCAGGGTTCAGATTCACTTCTCCATCTTGTACAGAAAACACATTACTGATTGTACATGTAAGACTGTATATACAATTTTGTTGCTTATTGGAAGAATACTGAAGGAGTGGAAACTCTTGCTGAGGTCAGCTGTCACAGATCTGGGGCAGCAGGAATTCTACAGAGGAGCCGAGGCAGTGTCAGACCTTTCTTTGCTATTAGTGTTAGGTCTCTCCATTCCTTCTCTACTTTATTTCCTTTGTCATTTACCTTCATTCTTAAATTTTTTGGCATGACTAGAAAGCCTTAATTTCATCTTGCTTTGTCAGTATATCAGAAGAACTTTCCCCTGTTTGAAAAATCCAGCCAGATGTTAGTGGTGCATGCCTTTAATCACAGCACTTAGGAGGCAGAGGCAGGTGGCTCTCTATGAGTTTGAGGCCAGTCTGGTCTACAGAGCTAGTTCCAGGACAGGCTCCAAAGCTACACAGAGAAACCCTGTCTCAAAAAACTAAAAAAAAGAAAAGAAAAGAAAACTCCAGAGGAACCACTAAGATTGGATTGATCTATGTGCCTATCCCTTTGGTGGGTGGCATGGATGTAGAGTCCCTTTCAGCATATTGTCCTGGGGTTGTAGCACCTTACAATGTGGGCGAAGTATGCATATACCCATATGATATTTTACACTAAGTGGAATAAGAGTATTGATCAGATAAATGTTTTGATAAAGTAGAATCAATAAATGAGTGAGTTAGGCTAGGGATAGAAGGAACTAAACAAAAGAAATAGACAAGTCCTTAAACATACCTCACTGGAACGCTGTTACTCATATTGTACATTATTTTACATTTTTGATTTTGTACTTTCCTGGTTTGGGCATTGAATAAAGTCTATATAAGTGAAAAGATAGGTACCTGGAACTGGGCGGTGATGGTTCATACCTTTAATTCCTGCACTTGGGAGGCAGAAACAGACACATCTCTATGAATTTGAGGCCAGGCTTGTCTGCAGAAAAATTCCAGGATAGCAAAGTCTACACTGAGAAACCCTATCTTATAAAACTAAAAAAAGAAAACCCCAAAACTCCCCCAAAATGACCCCCCCCAAAACCAGAATCTTACTTATATCATAAATATATATATTGATGTGTTATGAGTATGTGTGCAGTTGAAATCAAACCCCAGGACTTTGTACTTGTTGAGAAAATGCTAGAACACTGAACTGCATCCTCAGCCCCAGATGTCACAGTTACAGGGATCAGTAGGCTCAGCAAGAAACCACCAAATACAGCCACTCTATGGAGAGAAACAACAGTTTTCATGGATAAAACCTGCCGGGCCTCCTCTGAGGAGAGTAGAGGGCAGTGCAAAAGCTTGTGTTTAGAGGAGCATATGATGAGGGAGGAGGGCACAGCTCAGCCACTAGAACAGCCCTGGGCTCAGTCAGACAGAGGAAGGAGGTGCTCAAGACATGCTCAGACCTTCAGTGCTGATTAAGGGCTACTGAGAAGTGCTTTAGCATTCTGTTTCCTAGCAACACCAAACACAGGTGGGACCTGGACCATCACCCTAAAATATTGCTAATCAGCAGTGCAATTTGGGAGCCTGCCTTGGGGACCTAACAGAGTCCTTTCCTAATTGTTGGGAATTTGTCTCCTTCCTTTTTCCACTATAATATCATGGTACAAATAGCCTTTACATGACATGTCTGTTTGGGGCCATTGAGATGACTCTGGGTAAAGATACTTGTTGCAGTCCTGGCTACCTGTGTTCCATCTCCAGAACACACATGGTGGAAGGAGAGAACCATCTTCTGCAGATTATCCACAGATCTTGACATGTGTGTGCCATGCTGTGTTAGCACCCCTCACATACATATTTGTAGCATGAATTCTAATTGGTCTTAATGATAAAAAATTGCAGACAGCTATCAGGAGGTGAAAGCTGAAGGAATGACAGAAGCAGAGCTGCCAGCCACGGGAGTTCTTACCTCTCCCAAAGGGGTGACCCTGTTCTCAGACTACCTCCTTAGACTGCATCTGTCTCTACAAATCCTCAGACTGCTCTGAGCTCCTGTCTCCTCTTGACTTATATTCCTCTCTCTGCCCAGCCATAGAACTCCTATCTCTACCTTCCTAGTGCTGGGATTAAAGGCTTGTGATCCCAAGTGCTGGGATTACTTTTGTGTGAGCTCTGTTTCTCTTTTAGACAGATTCAACAATGAATGTTGTTTGGAGGAGAGAAGGAGCCTGGCTCAGAGGAGAAAGTAGGTATGGCAACAAGTCAGCTATGGAAAGTGATATATACAAAGTATTGGGGGAAAATGTTTCCAAAAAATCAGGGGCATTCCTGACACTTGCCTGCAATCTTAACACTTGGAAGGCTATGTAGGAGGATCCTAACCTTGAGGCTGACCAGGGCTACATAGTAACTTCTAGGCTGGCTTGGGTAAATTAATATGACCCTGCCTCAACAGAAAGAATAAAGCCAAGGTCAATGAGATGAGATGGTTCTGTGTAAAGATGATTGCTGCCCAGCGCAATAACCCCAGTTGTGTCCTAGGACTCACATGGTGGTAGAAGAGAATCATCTTCTACAAGATGTTCTCTGAGCCCCACATGAAAGCTGTCTTAATAACTGTTCTATTGCTCTGAAGAGACATCTTAACAAAGGCAACTTATGAAAGAAAGTGCTCAATTGGGATCTTGTTTACAGTTGTAGATGGGGAATCCATGAGCATCATAGTAGAGAACGGTAGTCATCAGGCAGTCATTGCACAGGATTAGTAGCTGAGAAATTATATCTTATCTGAAAATTGGAGGTAGAGAGAGTGGGCCTGGGGTGAGCTTTTGAAACCTTAAAGTTGAACCCCAGTGACATACTGGCTCCAGTGAGGCCACAGCTCCTATCATTGTCCAAAACAGTTGCATCAGCCGGGAAGCAAACATTGAAAACTATGAGCCCATGAGTGCCACTCTCATTCAAACTACCACACATGCCAAGGCTTCGGCACACACGTGTACACAAATAAGTTCAGTACAATAAAAATGAATATCTATTCTCATTGGAAGATTCTTTAATTTCTTTGTTTCTACAGATAAAGGTTCAAAGTTGAGGTCTGGGCATGGTAATACCATGGTGCAATCCCATAATCTTCTAATTTAGGAAACAGAAGCAGGCAGATCTGTGGGTTTGAGGGCAGGCTGGTCTATTTAGTGAGTCCTAGGTCAACTAGAGATACACAGTGAGACTGTCTCAAAAAGCCAAAGGAAGAGAGAGAGAAACACACACAAACACACACCCACACACACACACACCCACCCACCCTGCCTGGGGGAAAAAAAGAGGTAGAGATTGAAAAACTATCTAAAATATTTCCCCCTAGATGAAGCAGATGATGATGATGATCCAGAATATAACTTCCAGGAAGATCTTGATGAACCAGACACAGAGGATTTCCGCACTGACCCAGCAGTGAGAATCAGTAGTAAGTTAGTTGGTTCAGTATTTTCTTTTCCATATTTATTTACTCTATAGATGTATTAGAGCTGATGGATAATTCAGATTTAGACAATTAATTTCTTTTGTTTATTTATGTAATTGTTTAAATATAGTGTATATTCAGAAAACTGTTATTTACTTGTATAACTTATAGTCCTATTTTGGCTTTTAATATTTGGCAAGGGTTGTATTATACTTAGTTCTTTTTTTTTTTTTCCCCAAGACATGGTTTCTCTGGTTAAGATTCCTGGCTGTCCAGGAACTCATGTTGTAGACCAGGCTGTCCTCAAACTCAAGACATCCTCCTGTCTCTGTCTCCCAAGTGCTGGGATTAAAGATGTGAACCACCACTGCTCGGCTTGTATTATACTTTGAATGCAAAAATTAATGTGAACATGACACCCGCCTATCAGGCAATGAGTCTAATAAGTGCTGTGTAGGTTGTTTGAGGAATGCAGTCTGTTGAAAGAGGTTGTCCTTCCTTAGAGGTCTTAGGATGAGAAACTGAGAAGCTTCTGTAATGCAAAAGACAGTTAATAAAGACAAAACGGCATCCAACAGAATGGAAGAGGTCTTCACCAACCCCACATCTGAAAGAAGGCTGATTTCCAAAATATACAAAGAACTCAAGAAGCTAGTCAATAAAACACCAAAAAATCCAATTAAAAAGTGGGGCCAGAACTAAACAGATAATTTTCAATAGAGGATTCTAAAATGGCTGAAAGACATACATAGCCATCAGGGAAATGCAAATCAAAACAACTCTGAGATTCCATCTTCCTCCTGTCAGAATGGCTAAGACAAAAAACAACAATGACAGTTTATGCTGGAGAGGATGTGGAGAAACGTGAACACTCCTTTATTGCTGGTGGGAGTACAAACTTGTACAGCCACTTTGGAAATCAGTGTGGCAGATTTTCAGGAAAAAATGGGAAACTTTTAATTTATTTCTTTTATTGACTAGCTCTCCAAGTTCATCTTGTTTTGCTTTAGAGGCAGAATCTCATTGTGTAGCCATAGTTTGCTGCTGACTTAAGTAGCTGGTGTGGTATTGACTTTCAACAGCTATGCTACATCACCTTCCTGAAAATTGCTTTTATTATAAGATCACTGGACATTTTCTGTATATCTTTCCATTAGAATTTAAACTTGATGAAAATAAACTTGTGTCTTTTGTTGTTTTGTGAATCCTAAGCATCTTGAATAGGAATTGAAGCATAGTCGGTGTTTCATAACTGTCTGAGTTACTGCTTGAAGAATGGATATGAGCATTTGTTCAGATGCCTTGGGAGAAATAGCATACATTCCCTCCCTAGATGTCTTCCTTACTGCAGAATGAAACTAAGTTCTACTAACATCCTTCTTTGCCTTTTCTCAGAAAAAGAAGTGAACGGGCTGATGGAGGAGCTATTTGAAACTGTGAGTAATGATTTTTGAGTGAGTAGCTTGGTGAAATTCTTTAGTAAGCTCTATCCTCTGCTGTTAGGGATTTTCACTCCAGCAGAATGGTCTGGCTGTGTCAGAGCCACCGAGAGTACAATGGCCAGGGAATTCTGACTCTTGATTATCCACATGTAGTTAAGCCTTTATTATCCATGGCTATTTCTAGGGGCCTATGGTTGCAGACTCTCATTTGGACAGTGACCATAGAGACATGGTTTTCACAAAATGGTCTCTTGATTTTAGGTTATGTTTGCGATGAAGGGGAAGTTTGTTTAGCCCAGCAAAGTTTGCCCTTCATAGAGAGTGGAGTGGGTGGTTCCAAAGGGGAGTAGCAGGTAAATGTGTCTGTTTAAAGGTATTTGGGTGTGTGAGGAAACTGGAGAGATGGCTCAGCGTTTAAGAGGACTGCTGTTTTTGCAGAGGATCCAGTGTGCAGTGGTTTACAGCTACCTGTGATTCTAGCTTCAGAGCATCAGACACCCCATCTGCATCTGGCCTTCATGGATACCCCCTTTTCTCTCTGTCTCTCTGTCTCTGTCTCTCTGTCTTCCCAGCTCTGGTGTGCACAGAGAAGCTGGTCCCTGGATCTCATGACAGCAGATTTAAAAAGCGATTTAGGAGTGGCTGGGTGGTAGGGTGGGTAGCGGGGTGCTGTGAAGGTGGAAGGACCCATCCTGGGCTGCAGAGCCAGCTCAATGATCCATGAGACTGGTCCCTGGCAGGCAGAGCAGGCTACTAAGCAGCAGGGTGCCACGTGGCTCCGCCCACAGCTTCAGCAGTGCTTGTGATGGCCTTGGCCCCAATCAAGGAGAAGTTGTTTGAAGGGGCGACCAGGAAGAAGATAAAGGACAAGAAGGGTGTGTGGTTTGAAGTTCCTGGTACGTTTACCCGTACATGTTCTAAGACCCACCTGCCTGTGTTTGTGGAGCAAGGTGGGGCTCCAAAGGGGTGTATGTGGTAGCATGTCTGAGTGCCAGAGATGTCTTTGTGATGGAAGAGTGGGGTCGAGCCCACAGGGCAAGGTTTGGCTCTTGGCTGACCACACTGGGGCCTTTGGGAAGCAGACAGATTTGTTACTGAGTGATCCTTTGATGTCCCTTGTTGGGAATCATGGCTTTAGAAGTTCTCCATGGTGATAGGCAATGGCATAGTAAAGGCCCTGAATGTGGAGCCAGGGCCTCAGCTACAGCCTGGCTTCCAGAACCTTTCACATCTTTGAGGCCCTGCCAGATGAAAGCCCTCAGTTCCTCCCGTCTCCCCCACCTAGCTCTGGGCTGAGTGGCCCAGCACCTCCTTACCTGGGCTATTTAACTATTGACCATACTTCTGCAATAAACAGTGTGGTTTGTGTCAGAAAAGGAAAGAAAGGAGGCAGTGATTGAGGAAGATAGCCTGCCTCACACTCTGATCTCTCCATTCCCATTAATACCCATATACACACATATACCACAAACCAAGATATTTCTGTGGGAGAGAATGGTGTTTTGGGTTATCTCTTCTCTCTCAGTTCATGTTACAAGTCTACCATTTGAAAGAGTTCTTTTTGAGTATATTAGCCATTGCTAATATGGGGCCTTGAGTCTCCTGAAGTGAGATTAGCTCCATTATAGCTCTGGTTTTTACAGAAGTGGTTTATTTTAATTATTTTTAATTTCTTGAGATTATAATAAAATTACTTCATATCACCCTTCCTGTTCCTCTCTTTAAACCTTCCTGCAGAACCCTCTTTGTTCTCCTGCAAATTCATGTCCTCTGTTTTCATGTCCTAATAGTTTTTATGTGTGTGTATATACACACACAAACATATATATATGTATATATACACATATATATACATATATACATGTCCGTAAATACCTAAGTACAACCTGTTCAGTGTCTGTAATATTAGTTGTGTATGTTTTTAGGGCTGACCATCTGGTATTGGATAACCAGTGGCTGTGCTCTTCTCTGGAGAAGACTATTTCTCCCAGTCCCAGCACTCCTTAGTAATCTGTAGTTCTTTGTGTAAGGTTGAGGCCTCATGGCCTTTCACCTGCTCATGCTAGCATGCCTGTGCTGTCCTTGTTCCTCTGGCTCTCTCAGTCTCTCCTGTCTCTCTTCCACAGTGTTCCCTGAGGCTTAGGTGCAGGAGTGTTTGTAGGTGAACCCTTTGTGATTGGGCTCCACAACTCTGCATTTTGAGAACAGTGGAAATATTATTTCCTATGTGAATGAGTGTTTTCCCTGTATGTCTGTCTGTATACCTCATGCCTGGTGCCTGTGAAGGTCAGAAGAGGGCATTGGATTCCCTGGACTGGAGTTACAGGTGGTTTGTGCTACCATGTCAGTACTGGGACTTGAATCTGGGTCCTAAGTAAGAACAAGTGTTCTTAACCCCTGAACCAACTCCCCCAAAGGGTCTCTTTTGTATCCCAACATTATTAAAGTTCCTAAGTTCTATAGTTTTATTAATACTTAGTATCCCTAGAGTGGCTCATGTAAGGACCATTTTCTCAAAAAACAAAACAAAACAAAACAAACAAACGAACAAACAAAAAAAAAGCCTCCTGTTCTTTTGCCCACAGTTCCAAGATGAAATGGGATTCTCCAATATGGAAGAAGATGGCCCAGAGGAAGAGGAGCGTGTATCAGAGTCTCGACCTAACTTCAACACCCCTCAAACCCTGAGGTATGTTGGCTGAGATGTAGCGGGAAGGGATAATGTGTTTCTGAAGAGGCTTGATATTTTTTTTTTGTTTCGTTTTGTTTTGTTTTATAAATTATTTTTCATCTTCCCTCAGCCTCTTGTTTAGGGTGAGGAGTCCTGGATGTGAGTTAGTTAACAGCAAACAAATAAGGCGGTCTCCCTGTTATGGGGCAGTACAGCTGTAGACAAAGCTGTGTCTGTTTGGGAAGGGAGAAAAATCAAAGCTGGCCCCAAGGGCATCCTTTCCATGCGAGTGGTGCTGGAGAGGTGTGTCACGCTTCACAAGGCCAGCCACAGAAACACCCCACTGTGGTGTTTAGATGTCACGTGTGTTCATTGTTTGTCTATAACATGTGACTTGTCACTTGGGCATTGTTGAGCAAGCCATGAGTGCCTGCTCTGATGTGGCAGGAGCCAGAAACATGCCTTTTTCTGAAAAGTTACTAATGATTGATAAAGTGTGATGTACTTATCTACGACTACTTCCTGCTTAAATTGGGGCATTGTTGTTGGGGACCCAAGAATGTTGGCATGCTGTCTAGGTTGTACGGTATCTTCTGGAGTTAGGGAGGTACAGCCTTAGTTGTAGCATTAAGTGAGCCTGGACTGCCTGGGACAAGATGCTTAGGAACTGCCTTGGATGCAGATTCTGGTCAGGTCCTTGTGCATCAGTAGTTTATTTGAAATCTGGTGGTACAGATAGACTCGGGAGAGAAGGTTAAGGAAAAATTTTTGTTCAGGATGTACATTTGAAACTTTCAAGCCCACAAGTTAGTTGTTGGGGGAGGGGAGGCCTAAGACCTGGGGAGAAAGTTCCTAATCTCAAGAATAGGCAGAGGTGGAGGTGGATTCAAGTAATGTTCCTGAACTGTACAAGAACTGTTTAAGTTTGCATAAAGAGATGAAAGTTTCAGATATGTTAGCATTACCACTGCTGGTAACATGTAGTGAAATCCACATTACAGAAAAGGCAGGAGACTCATGCCTTTGAGTCACAGTAGAAGCTTGGTACTCAAAGTGTTTCTGGGTTAAAAGCATCAACACTCTTCCCAGAGGGTTGCATATATAGAGTGGACAGAGATGTTTTTAGCACGGTGGAAAGCACTTTTATGTCTGTACTTAGAAGCAGAGGGAATTAAAAATATTTTTAAATAATTTATTTTTTCTTATTTTATGTACATTGGTGTTTTGCCTGCATGTATGTCTGTGTGAGGGTGTCAGACAGCTGTGAGCTGCCATGTAGGTGCTGGGAATCGAACCCGGATCCTCTGGAAGAGCAGTCAGTGCTTGCTCTTAACTGTTGATTACTCTCTCCAGCTTCATGGGTTTTTTAAAATTTGAACTGGTGACTTGGATAATAAGTAGCAGTGCTTTAAAAGGCCCAGACTAAGAACACATCAGAACTCCATTGATTAATGTTAAATATCTCATCTTTTGAAGTCTTAATGTAAGCACAGAGGGAAAGATCTCTGGAACAGTTTTCATTTTGTTTAATGTGCTTTAAATCACTTTCTTAGATCTTTCCAGCTTATGTTTACACACCTTAAAATACTTCTTTAGATTTTAGAATTGACAGAGACCAAATAGCTGTAAGAGAATGAAGCTTGAGACTGGCTGTTTACACAGGACTAGGACTGAGAAGGTAGTAGAAGCCTTGGAGGAGGAGCTGGTATGCTTGCTGCTGTTAACCTGACAAAACTATCGTTATCCTAATTGTCAATGCAATCAGAGATCTGAGCAGGGTAAATTTCACTGGAGTAAAAACAGGCAGTATAGACCTGGTAGCTCCTGAATCTAATTAAAGAATGACAGAGACTTACAGACTTCCTGAATAATCAGCCTGAGTTCCTCCATGGTAATCTTGATTTCACTGGGGCAGAGGTCCCAGGGCAGTGTCAGTCTTAGGCCTTCAGGCCCAGAAGGTCTAACAGACTCCAGGTCACATTGGCACAGCCACAGCAGCATGACTGGTTATTGTTGCTGTCTTATCATCTACTGTCCTGAAGAAGCAAGCAGAAGTATGTGTTGGAGGGGGGGGGGGGTAGTGGTGGAATTCCCTCCAGACCCAAGACTGATAGGAGATATCTTCTTAGGTAGTTGCTTGCATGTCTTCACAAATAAGCTTGCCTCTTTGCTGAATTGTATCTAAAAAGGAAAAGACAGAACACATGAATTTTCCTTTTCTAGCATTTAAAAAATTCAATATAATTATTTTGAGTGGGTTTCTGTGAGCGTATGGCTGAGGATCACATGCATGCAGTGACATGGAGGTCGGCAGGAGGCTTTGGGTCCCTGGAACTGGATTGTACATGGTGTGAGCCACTGTGTAGGTGCTGGGAATTGACCTGAATCTTGTATGAGCAGCAAGTGCTCTTTACCACTGTGCCATCTTTCCAGACCCCTCCTTTTATTCATTTTTGATTTTTCAAGACAGCCCTGGCTGTCCTGGAACTAGCTCTTGTAGACCAGGCAGTCCTGGAACTCACAGAGATCCCCTCCTCTGTCTCAGTAGTGCTGGGATCAAAGGTGTGTGCCAACACCGCCTGGCCTCCCCTCCTTTTCTTGTTTTCTATCTCTTGAGTCTAGCCCAAGCCTAAGTATGGCTTTGCTGACGCCCTCAACCTTTTCCCTTTCTCCCCCCACTTACCCACACCCATTCAACTCCATGTTAACATTAACAAGCCTTTTTACAGAGAGTAGGGGTTGTCTCTGAAGGCTACCTCTGTCCAATCATCGGTTCAGTAGCTAAGGGAATACTGAAGCAAACTTTTAGTGAAGTGCTTGCATGTGTCAGTCTATTAGGGACTAATACTGCTCTTGTTGCCTTAGATCATGATAAATTCCTTAGAGATGATAAATTAAATTGCTCAGTTTCTGTGCTGGCGCCCACTCAAGCCTGATCCTTTTTTCTGTCCCTATGTCTCACAATTTCAAGAGACAGACTGAGACACTTTTTTACTAAGTCTTTGATAGGGCTGGAGAGGTGGCTCAGTGGTTGGGAGCACTGGCTGTTCTTCCAGAGACCCATGTCCAATTGCCAGGACTCACTTGATGCCTCATAACTCGAGTTCCAGGCATCTGGTGCCCTCCTCTGGCCTTCTCAAGCATGACACCCTTGTGTCCTCTGACAGACAGCACATGGGAAGATGCAGAACTCAATACATAGCTCTAATTCCCCACGCCCTTAGGGAGGCCAGGCCAGACCAAGTAGAGATACCACCAGGAACGTCCATCTTGGTGAACCAGTGGGTTTTATTGGGGTTAATTACAGAAGCAGAAAGTATTCAAAGACAGCTCCATGCAAAACTCACCCCAGTGAATGTGGCAGCTCCCCTAATCTGCACACCTGGAGCACACTGCATGCAGCTCAGCAGTTTGGAGCATCCTTTCCAGGAGGCTCAGTTTGGTCTAACCTTCTTCTAGGATGCTCTCTTCCAGGTTTCTGCTGCTCTTGGATGCTATGCTTCTTGTTGGGAGCTTGACCTGTGTGAGAGTGGTGCTCAGCAGTCCTTATTGGTCACTCTTAGGAAGGAGCGGCCTGGTGAATCTGGTCAGTTCAGGGACTTCTGAAGTCATTTTGTTGAGTTATTTACTTCTGTCCTACTGTAGGGGTTCCTTGCAAAGATGGGATGTTTCAATCTTGGAGAAAATGGGTATACAACAATGTGGTACACAGACATGTGCCGGCAAAATTCATACACATGAAATAAAAATAAATAAACGTGATCTTGGTGAGACTGAGGCCAGGCTGGTCCAGGTGTGAGTTGCAGGACATCTCAGTTTAGGTCAGGCAACACTGAAAGGAGTTACAATGGGTAAAAGAAGATAATTTACATTTGGGTCATATAGTACTGTTTGAACTAACAGCTCCTTCTCTTCATGGAGCCTGCCTTGGATTTTAGTGTATTTCTTTTGTGTTACATTGTAGAAAGGCTTTGTTCCTCTTTCCTGTTTTTGTGTTTGGTGCTAGGAAACAAACTCAGAAGTCATATTAAAAGAGAAGTATTCACTATAGTAACTTAGGTATCTTCTCACCCTGGGGTTTGAAGAAATAAATGAAGGGCAGCTGTAAAGGAAAGGGCTGGAGTAGCAGGTAAATGAGAGACTAACTGGTGTACTTGTAGAAGATTCTCTGTCACTATTTGTAAGATATCTCCATTGGCTTTGCTAGAGTTTAAACCCAGAGCATCAAGCATTCTAGATATGAATTACTTCATTTGAATATATTCCTGACAGTCTGAGGAAATTATTTGGTTAAGGAGAATGCATGCTGCTTATAGTGAGATTTAAAGAACTAAAAATAAAAGTAAGTAGACATGGGCTGGAGTGATGGCTCAGTGCCTCTGAGTACTGAGTGCTCTTCCAGAGGACCCAGGTTCAGTTCCCAGTACTCACATGGCAGCTGACAACTGTCTGTCACTTGTGTTCCAGAGGACCTAACAACCTTCACCCTGACACACACGCAGGCAAAACAGTAATGCACACAAAACTTAGAAAAATCTTAAAAATAATACTATATTTTTTTTAATAAAAAGTAAATGGACATCGTTCAGGCTTGGTTAATATGTGTTTTCAAGGAATATGATGTAATGTGGACCCAGGAAAATATACGGATTTGCTTTTTCTTATTGGAAATAGGTTTGAGGAACCATTGGCCAACTTGCTGAATGAACGACATCGGACAGTAAAAGAGCTGCTTGAACAGCTGAAAATGAAAAAATCTTCATGCAAGCCACAGCCTGAAGTGGAGAGGCTTAAACCTCAGAAGGAGATAGTCCACCAGACTCTGATTCTGGACCCAGCACAGAGGAGCAGGCTTCAGCAGCAGATGCAGCAGGCAAGAGTCTTCTCATTGTCTTGTAATTGCATCGTCTCCGGCCTAACACCGAAGCCAAAAGGGAGTGTTGCAAAGTCATAGATGGCTGTCCTGGTTTCCATTGAAACCGTGGGGCATAGGACCTTGGGTCCACTAAGACCTTGAGAGAACAGCTTGTTCATGTCCTGTGGCTCTGTCAGGAAAGCAGATAAAGACCTGATAAAGCGCAGGATCAGGGAATTCAGAGTTCTAGGCAATGCATTCAAACTTGGGGAACTAACTGTCTGTATTAGCTTTTCTTCTTTCAGTCTTAGTCTCTCTAGTTTGAGGTTCAAGTTTGCCTGAGTTTGTGGTCACGTTCAGAGGAACGTAACCCTGAAATTCATGCCAAGATCCTGGGTTGCTCTAATCCCTCTGAGAAGCAAGATATGTGTGATACGTTTGCAGACTTCTTAGTAAGATCTGTGTTTCTGAAATGGCAACATTTAACACATCAGTTTTCTTTCCTCCTCAGCATGTTCAGCTCTTGACACAAATCTACCTTCTCACCACCTCCAACCCCAACCTCAGCTCCGAGGCCAGCACCACCAGAGTATTTCTGGTAAGGTTCCATGCTTCCATAACTCTGAAGACTAAAGTTTGACGTTAGCTTGACAAGTGATTTTTTTCAGTGTTAATGTTATTCGCTGATTATACTCTGTACTTCTTCTTCTCTACTGGATGTGTTAGGTCACTGTACCTACTTTCTGGTGGCTTCCTCTGTGTGCTTGGCCGAACCCTGAGTCTCAGGAAGTGTTTGCCATGTCATCTCGATTGCATCCCCCTCATCTTGGGGTCCTTTTTGCTTTTCCTTCTTGAGAGAGGGTCTCATGTTGTGCTTGCTGGCCTCAGAGTCACTGTGTAGCTGACTTTGTCCTTGTGATCGTCCTTCCTCTACTTCACAATTGCCCCAGTTACGGATGTACACGAAAGTGTCCGGTTTATGGGGTGCTGCGGATATAACCCAGGGCTTCTGCATATTAGGCAAGCGCTCTACTAACTGAGCTCCCCAGCCCACTCACCCTTTGTTTTTAAGGATGTTGACTTTGACCTGTTTATTGTGCTCAGCTTTAATGTTTAGTGTAGAATTAGTCCTGCTTGTGACATTTTAAGTGTTTTGAAAGATTTAGGGATCCTCCCTAATGGAGGTCCTCCCTCATTCCCATTCTCCCTTTCACCCCTCCTCCCTTTTCTTTCTTGTAGAGTTAATAGTAGATCTGTGAATGGAGGTAAGAGAAACTGTCACTGGGAGGGGCCCAGGAGTCGGTGCACCCTGGAGAAAGTGCTTTTGTGGTTCTGTGATGTGTTTGCTAATAAGCCCAAGTGCTTTGTGGAAAAGAGTCTCTTTACTTGGTACTGTATTCAGATGACGATGAGAAAGATTTCATTTGATGCATTATTCAGAAAACTTTTCAGAATTAGATTTATATGTGTGTGTTTTGCTTGCCTGTATGTATGTGTGCAGGGTTGTGCTTGCTTGCTGGTGTGGGCAGAGAAGGGTGTCACATCCCCTGGAAGTAGAGTAATGGGTGGATGTAAGGCACCATGTGGATGCTGGGAACTGAGCCTGGTTCCTCTACAAGAGCAACAAGTTTGTTTTTTTTTTTTTTTTTTAAACCTGCTGACCACCTCTCCAGACCTTTTTGTTTGTTTCTTTCTTTGTTTTTCAAAACAGATTTCTCTGTGTAGATTTTGAGCCTGTCTCGTGTCTTCCTTCCAGTGTAGGGATTAAAGGCGTGTGCCACCACTACCTAGCTTCAGAAAATATTTCTCTAAGAACAGGAGACAGTGGTGTTAGTCCCCTTTATTTCTAGTAATTTGGTGAATGAGAGAGGAGGATCATGAGTTCAAGGCTGTCCTGGGCTACAGAGTTAGACTCAAAAACAAAAAAAAAAAACAAAAAACAAAAAAAAACCAAACCAAAACAAACAAACAAACAAACAAACAAAGAAAAAAACGGGTGTGTATGTGTGCTTGTAATCTTCCCCTCACCCTTCTCCCCTCCCCCAGTGCTGAGGTTCAAATCCGGGTCTTTGAGCATTCTTCTCAATAGCTCTGTTGCTGAGTCCTGCTTCTAAGTTGGGGATATAGCATGCATCAGTAAGACTGGGTAATGTTCACTGTGAGACTTAAAACAAAAGTGTGACAAATGAATGTAGGTCCATTCCCTGAATGGCTGAGGGCAAAGACAGAGAAGTCACAATGGAACAGTATCAGTTAAGAGAGATCTTTGCCCGCTTCTATTCCTATAGCAGCAAGGGCCCTTGCCCCTTCAGAGGTTGAGGGCTGTGGTATTAGTTTTCTGGAGTCCTCTGAGATCTCCTTTGTGTCCTTTCTTGTCAGAAAGAGCTGGGAACTTTTGCAGAGAACTCTGTCGCCCTGCACCAACAGTTCAACCCCAAGTTTCAGACCTTGTTCCAACCCTGTAACTGGATGGGAGCTATGCAGCTCATTGAAGACTTCACACAAGTCAGTGTTGACTGCAGTCCTCAGAAAACCACCAAGAAGACTGGTAAGAGATGCATGTGTCAACTTCGGGTTTTGGTTTGCATTGGGAGATGACAGTCTTTAATAATTTTTATGTACAATTCTTAGGGATGGAGTGTGTAGAATATACTCTATGTTTTCTGCATTTTATCCTTTATATTCTAGGCTTTAGCATTGCATGTTAAAATCTATGCTAGTGTAAGTCTTGGAAGACAAGAGGCAAAATAGGGATTCAGGAATCCTTGTTAAATAGTGGAGTTGAGTGAATCAATGCCAGAATCAACATTTCATTTAAAGTGGGAATGTCACTTATACTCTCTGTGTATTTTAAAGTCATATTTACATATTTACACATACACACACAGGTTTGAGGGGTAGACATCGTGAGATATAGTACCATAATGTCCAGGACAGCTGTGGGTCCCAGGAATTGAATTCAGGTCGTCAGCCCAGTTGCAATTTTCTGGACTGACCCATCCCCTGTCATCTAGAATACCAGATGTGTAAAAAAGAATAAACAAAGTATAATTTTTATCTTGGTAGAACAAAAATCTTGCTGAAGTTCTTTGTGTTGTAAAGCATTTTTACAGAGAAGGGTGAAAAGATGTGTGGGGATAACAGTATGTGTGGGCACTGCTAGGTGCTAATTTATGTTCCTGTCTCAGGGGATGAAGTGACCCACACAGGAAAGGACAAGGGAATCAGCTTGATTTCGCTCCTATTAAGAGTATGTTAGGTTGAAACAAGTGGAAACAAGTGGGGGTCAAGTCACAGAAGGAGATAGAGCTCTGCTTGATGCTAAAAAGGATTTATACACTTTTGTGAAGCTCTTTGGTCATAAATTTTCTCTTACAGCCAGTGAATTTCCCTGTTTGCCAAAGCAAGTGGCTTGGATCCTGGCCACAAACAAGGTCTTCATGTATCCAGAACTCCTTCCAGTATGTTCACTGAAGGCAAATAATCCTCGGGATAAGATCGTCTTTACCAAGGCTGAGGACAAGTAAGTTTACTGTGTGGATCAAAGAATACATTAGCGAAAGACAGAGACAGTCTTTTCACATGGGCGATAGAAGATGTGTATGACAAAAAACACAGACCAAAGGAAAGCCATGGAGAGGCACAGAGTTTCAGCCGTGTCTTTTGCAGAAGATGCCTCATTTGTTGTGGTTAAAACTTTTTTTAAAAACTTATTTCAAGTTTTCTGTAGATGGGTATTTTACCTGCTTGTATGTCTGTGCAGCAAGTATGTAACAGTGCCCACAGAGACCAGCAAAGGGTACTGGATCCCCTGGAACTGGAGCTGTGCACTGCTGTGAGTCACCATGTGGGTGCTGGTATCTGACCCTGGGTCCTCTGGAAGAGGAGGCTGTGCTCCTAAGCACTGAGCCCTCTGTCTAGCCCTGCCACACACATTTTTGAAGCATATAATAGCATTGCTTAATCTTGTTTCTTGGAGAGCCAATCTTGTAGTAGTACTGAAAGTAAAATGTTTCTAACCTATTGTTCTCCTGCCCAAAGACAATGGTTCTCGTTTGCTTTACCCTTTATAGTCTTTTAGTTTGTGATCCTCCTCCTACCTTCTAAGAGGTGGAAATGCAGGTGTGAGCCATCAGCCTGGATTATAGTGTGCCTGATGTTAAATAACTTCGGGCTTCCTGTATGCTAGGCGCTGTGACTTACTGCCTCAGCTCTCTTGGGATTCTGATGGCGTTTTAGTAATTTAAGGAGTTTTGTAATTAGCTTTTTCAAAGGCATAAAGACTTTCCAGTGGGCGCTGGCCCAGGCCTTTCATCCTAGCACTTGGGAGGCAGAGGCAGGTGGATCTATGAGTTGGAGGCCAGCCTGGTCTACAATTGAGTTTCAAGTTACCCAGGCTTACACAGAGAAACCCTGTCTGGAAAAACAAACCGACAACAAAAAGCAAAGACAAGGTCTTCAAATTGTCATTTTAATATTTGAGTTATCTATTATTTATTGTTCTATGAGGCAGGCCCTCATGTGTCTAATACTGTACTTGAAAAGACTATGTTCCTGAGGATGACCTTGAACTTTGAACCCTCTTGCAGGTTTCAGTTTTGGAGATGTTTGTTTTATTTATTGTTTTTTTGAGGGGGTGGTCCTGGGGTTTTGCTTTTTATTTTTTGGGGCTGACACCACGTGTTATTGTATAGTTTGGGCAAGCCTCCAGCTTAGAGCAGTGCTCCTGCCTCAGCCTCTGAACAGGGTTGTGATTGCAGGAGTGTGCCACCATGTCTGGAACATCCACTCAGTGGCATATTTTTGTTGCTACTTTTGAAATGGGACCAGTCTCATTTGTGCTGGACCAGTGCAGTATCACTAGCCTTGATTATGTTATCTTTGACACCAAAGTGAGGGCCTCTGGAGTTCAGTCCTTTGTCTTTCCATATAGTAGGCGAGCACTGTACCCAGTGAGTTACATCACAGCCCTTGTTTGGTCCATACAGGGTTGCCATGCACCCAGGCTGGTCTTGAACATGGCATCTCCTGCCTCAGCCTCCTGGGCGTTGAGAGTGTGCCACTGGCTGTCTGTGTTCTTCTGTGTTTTTATCACAAGGCTTCACCAAGGATGTTTGTGCAAAGAGCGTTAGAGAGATTTTGCGTTAACAGTGCTGTGGGATTAACCCAGGGCCTTCCCCATGGCACTGACCCCTTCATGTTTGTTAAAATACTGAGCTCACGGTAAGTATCCGAAGGTGTGGAAAGTGTTTGTGAAGCAAGAGCAGTTTGGAGAGCTCTTTTGAAGAAAGGCCTGTGAAGTTAGGTTGAATCATTGCTTCTCTCTCAGTCTGTTAGCTTTAGGACTGAAGCACTTCGAAGGCACTGAGTTTCCTAAACCTCTAATCAGCAAGTACCTTGTAACTTGTAAGACCGCTCACCAGCTGACGGTGAGAATCAAGAACCTCAACCAGAACAGAGCTCCTAACAACGTGATTAAAGTGAGTGTTTGCTCAAGCTCCCTGTGCCTCCTGCAGAGGAGCACCTAGCCCTTTCTCCTCCTCCTCTCAGCCCTCAGTGAGACAGGGAAGTCCCTCCAAAAGAAGACTAATTTAAAGGATAATTCCTCCCGGTGTGTTAGATTGATTGTCTTTCCCTTGTAAGGCAGTGATCCATTAATTTGCTGGGGAATATCTTCATCATAGCCTCTCTTATGAAGTCACTCAGGTGAGAGGGTTCCACTAGCCCTCCATCCTTCCAGCCAGATTGCTTCTGCCTTACCCTAACGTTCTCCAGGTAGACAGTATTGGATTTGCAAACTGTCTCCAGTGTGCCGCTTTCTTTTGTTTCTAAAGATTTGTTTTACTTTTTAATTAAGCATGTGTCTGTGTGTGGGTGTGTGCAAGTGTGTGCAGTGGCCCAGATCCCATAAAGCCGTAGTCACGTGTAGTTGTGAGCCACCTGACGTGGGTGCATGTGTGCTGGGATCTGCACCGGGGTCCTCGATAAGATCAGGACCTGCCCTTAACCACTGAGCCACCTCTCCAGCTTCCAGTGCTGCTTTTCATTTAGACATTTCTGTCAAGGTCATGCAGAACATGCTTCAGGAGTCAAGGAAGCTAGGTGTGCTGTTTCGGCACCGGTCTCTGCACCCAGGTGACGGAGACTCTAGAATTGATGTGAGTTTGGGAATACCCAGAGCTCCATAACAATATCCTAGTTCAAAAGTGAGAGAGAGAGAGAGAGAGAGAGAGAGAGAGAGAGAGAGAGAGAGAGAGGAGGTTAAGCAGTTTAAAGAGTGACATTTTCTTGAGGCTTCTGTTATGAATGTGTTTCATCCCCTTCCGTTGTAACTCATGTTTTTGGGAGGTGGTGTACTTAACCACCTCAAGATATAGCAGGTTCACAACTGACTTCTTGGTGCTTTGGGATTAAACCTGATTTATTAACCTCAGTCATGGATCCTTGCCTTCTTGTCTCCCTCCCTTCCTCTGTCCCTCCTTCCTTCCTCCTCTCCCTGCTTCCCTGCCTGTCTCCCACTTTCCCTCCCTCCGTCTCTCATTCTCTCCCTCCCTTCATCTCTTACTTCCTTCTTCAGTGCTAGGAGTTGAGTAATCACTAAACCACATCCCCAGCTCACCTTATTTGCTTTAAATGTCTTTGTTTGTGTGTGTTTTTAAGATGTCATTTAGTATGGGTAGTTGTGTGTGCCTGAGCATATGTGTACCGTGTGTGTGCAGGTGCCTGTGGAGATCAGAACGGGACATTGTATATCTGTAGGTACAGGTGGCTATGAGCTGCCCATTGTGGGTTTTGGAACTGAACCCGAGGTTTTGGTAGAACAGCAAACACTTAAGTGTTGGCCTCTGTATGCAGCCCCATCATTGATATTCTGGTTGACTGACTGATTGATATGCTTTTTCAAAATCACACTTATTTACCTTGAAGTGGGCATGTCCATGCCACAGTGCACACATGAGGTCAGTGCACAACATGAGAAATGATGTTCTGCTTTTCCCCCTATGAACTCAGTTTCTTATGCTCAAGCCAACTGCCTGTCCCATTCATTCTTTTCACTATTTATTGGTTTGTTCATTTGTTTTTTGAGATGGAATGCTATGTATAGGCTTGACTGTCCTGAATCTCACCATGTAGACCAGGCTGTTGTTGGCTCAGTGAGATTCCTCTGCCTCTGCTTCCCACATGCTGGGATACTATGTGTGTCCCACAACCTCCAGCCTATTTACTTTGAAAGGATGTCTTTTTCTTCCTCTTCTTCCTCTGCCTCTCCCCCTGGGAGTACAGCTCCTCACTATCCTGTTCAGTTTACTGTATCTTTTTCACTTAGCCCAGTTACTTGCTTACAAGTAGCTTCTGTGTGTGAGATGAGGGTTGAGTTATGTGTGCAGGATGAACTGTTTAGTAAGATTATTTCCTTCATTGGCTTCTGATATAAACTACTAAGTTTCCCTCCAAAGGGTCACTGGAGAAGATAGTTTTGAGTGTATTTGTTTGTTTATTCAGACAGGTTTTTTTTTGTTTGATTTTGGGTGTGGGTGTAATAGCTTTGGCTGTCTAGGAACTCACTTTGTAGACTAGGCTGGCCTAGAATTCACAGAGATCCACCTGCCTCTGCTCCCAAGTTCTGGTATAGTTTAGTCTTAGTGGTTATCAGAATGGATATTTGCATTTATATATTGGATATTTGTGAAATTTTCATTAATTAGAGATACTTTGTTTAAAGGCAGACATATTCAGCATTTACAACTGATACATTTGTGTGTATGTGTGAAATCATCAGCCACCCCATTTTCCAGTGTGAACAAATAATACTTTGATTTGTGTGTTCATGCCTAGTTTTATAAGAAGACCAAACAGCTGCCAGTTCTGGTGAGGTGCTGTGAGGAGATCCAGCCACATCAGTGGAAGCCGCCCATAGAGAAGGAGGAACACCGGCTCCCATTCTGGTTGAAGGTCTGGCCCTCCTTCAATGTCTGTGTGAGGCAGGAGTCCCTAAAAGTTCCTGTATCAGTTAAATGATAATTCCCAATGTAAATTCAGGAAGAATTTATGCACTTGGATGTGCTTTTCCTAGAACACTGAGGCATGGAAATCCCTTCTTGGGACCATATCTTGAAACTGTCCTCTACTAATCTTCTACTGATCCTTATTCTCCAGAAAGCTAATTTTTCTTTCCCCCAAATTCTGCCACATGCTAGAGCACATTGTTCTTGTTTCCTGTAGGCCAGTCTGCAGTCCATTCGGGATGAACTTCGGAACCTAGCGGAAGGTACTGCGGAAGGAGAAAATGTGACCCCAGCCTCAGAGACCAGTACAGATCAGCATTTGGAGAAAGCCAGCCCTGAGTTAGGGAGTGAGACTCAATACCCACTGCTGATGCCCAATGGTGTAGTACTCAAATTGAAGCCAGGTTATAAGCCTTCCTCTAGAAGGGCTTGGCGACAGAAGCGGCTGTTGGTTCAGAAGCCCGTCCTTATCCAACCTAGCCCCTGTGTTCAAGCTTCGTTCAACCCAGGGAAAATAGCAACCTGGTCAACTCAGTCAGAAGTCCCTCCAGGCAACAGGGTAGTTCAGATTCCTCATCTGATCCAGCCAGCCACTGTCTTACAGACACTTCCAGGGTTCCCTCCAGTGGGGGTCAGCCGAGAAGATTGTATTGAGTCTCCTGCAGCACTGCCAGCTATGCCTTCTGGCCCTGAAGCCAGGGCCAGCCTCCCCCTCCCTCTGTCTGAGTCTCAGTCACTATTGCCTTCTTCCTCTGCACTCAAGATCATGCTACCCTCGCTTGCTCCTTCAAAATTTCGAAAGCCTTTCTCAAGGCGGAAGCCCACGAGAAGAGGAGGAACCAAGGTTTCTCCCTGTGTGAAACCTCCCCCCATCATCCACCCCACACCTGTCATCTTCACTGTCCCTGCCACCACAGTGAAGGTTGTAAGCCTTGCCAGTGGGTGCAATGTGATCCAGCCTGTTAATGCAGCCGTGGCCCCAAATCCCCAGACCATTCCTATCACCACTCTCCTGGTTAATCCTACACCGTTCCCCTGTCAGTTAAACCAACCCCTCGTGGCCTCCTCCATTTCACCCTTAATTGTTTCTGGCAATCCTCTGACACTTCCTGTGCCCTCTGTTGCTGAGGATAAGGCCCACATGAACATGGATGTTACTGAAGAGAAAAATGCTCCTCAAAACCCTGACTCCACATTAAAACCCCTGGAACTGACTCCTTTCTGTGCTACTGTCTTCTCCAAGGAGGAGCCTAGGCCATGGCACCCTTCCTCAGGTATGGAAAGCCAAGAAATGTCAGAAGCAAATGCCTGTGGATGGCCCATTGTGAAAACAGAAAGCCAGGAGGGATCTTCTAAATCGAGCACCTGTGGCTGGACAGTTGTGAAAATAGAAAGCCAGGAGGTATCTTCAGAATCTAGTACCTGTTGCTGGACAGTTGTGAAAACAGAAAGCCAGGAAGTGTCTTCAGAATCGAGTACCTGTGGCTGGACTGTTCTGAAGACAGAAAGACAAGAGGCACCTTTGGAATCTAGTGCTTGTGGCTGGACAGTTGTGAGAACAGAGAACCAGCAGGCATCTTCAAAATCAAGTGCCTGTAGCTGGACAGTTGTGAAAACAGAAAGCCAGGAGGGATGTTCTGAATCGACCACCTGTGGCTGGACAGGTGTGAAAACAGAAGAGGATGGGCTTGCTTTTGTGCCATTTCCTCAGCATCTCCCGGAATCTCTGAACTCCACATCAAAAGATTTAGAAGAAATGGTCAAGATGGAAGCTGAGGATTGTGTGGGAGAAATCCCCAGCAGATTTCCTGAGCAGGGCTTTGCTAAGAAAGTGAAAGAAGAATGCTCTATGGAATTGGACAGTGGCTCCCATCAGGGGAAGCAGAGTAGTTCCAGAGAGATGAGAAAACAAGCAGTCGTGCAGAGGGAGGAGCCTCAACCAGCTAAATCCCTTTCTGTGTCTCAAGACTCTGCTGATGAAGGGGCTTCAAGTGGAGATGCCAGGAAAGGATTGCCAAAAAGCACTCCATCCTGCATGGAGCAGGAGAGGGTACTTCGCAGTCCTCCAGGGAAGCCTGAGGACTCAGCCAATGTTGACAGTCAGTCTGTGGGGACCCCAGCAGGACCAGACCCTGGAGGAGAGAGAGAAGGGCCTGAGGATGAAGAGGAGGAAGAGTTTGATGACTTCACCCAAGATGAAGAAGATGAACTGTCATCAGCCTCTGAGGAGTCTGTGCTTTCTGTCCCAGAGCTCCAGGTAAGAACCTGAGTAGTTTCGAGTATATAGTGTCACTAGAAAGTTGTGTTATCTGACTTTTGAATGCATTATGCCACATAATTTACAGTCTTGTGTCAAGTGCCATAGAATGGGAACATTCTCTTTGGGTTAAGCTCATTTAATTATTAATTTGATTCATTTGAGCATACTTTATCATTTTTATAGTTATTTTAATTGTGTGGGTGTGTACATGAGGTTTTATATGTGTAGAGGTCAGAGGAACAGGTTATCTCCTTCCAGTATGTATGTCCCAGGAATTGAGCTAGGTGTCAGGCTTGACCACAGTTGTCTGTACCTGTTGCCCCATGTAACTGTCCGTTGAGCATACTTTAAATGACAAACAAACAAGCAGGCTGCAGGTAATATGATACTGTTTGCCATCCTTAATGGGTTGTGTGCATTTCCTGGGATCACATAGTATAAGGAGAGAACTGATTGAGTTTATCTCCTGATCCCCTCCCATGGGTGCCTCTGTATGTATGTATCCTAGTGCATGCACACAGACATAAATAGGCTTAAAAAAAACAATAACCTGTGAAGGGGGAAAGATGGATCTACAGTTAAGAACAGTTTTTGCTCCTGGCAGTGGTAGAACAGGTCTTTAATCCCAGGTCTCAGGTGTTCAGCCTGGTCTACAGAGTGAGTTGCAGTACAGCCAGAAATACACAAGACAAACAAAACAAAACAAAAAAAAACAAACAACTATGTTAGGAGTAAGATTCCCCCCTCTCCCCGCCACTCTGTGGTCAGGTCCCATAGCCGCACCACCCCATATAACACACACAGACTCTGTATTTGATATTATGCTGTTAGCCAGTTGCTAGTTTCTTGTCACCTAGCTCTGTCTTAAATATTAACCCATTTCTGTTAATCTAAGGGCTTTCACATGGTCTCCTCTTACTGGAGAGTGGGGCCTGCGTCTGCTCTCTCCAGTCTCACCATGCTGACTCCTCCTTACTACTTCCTCTAACCTTCTTTCTCCTAGTCCCTCCTATCTTCCTTTCCTATTGCCTAAAGCCAACAGTGCTTTATTCATCAACCAGTAAGAGAAACATATTTACAGAATGACATCTCCCATCACAACTACAACAAACAAGTCCTTAGCGGTCCTAAGTTTGAGTCCCAGCATCCACATATCTGCTGGCACTCAACATTAACTCCAGTGTTAGAGGATCTGGTGTTCTCTTTAGGCGTTTATAGCCATGTAGTACACAGAACTACATGCACATAAAACACTTATACTCAAAATATAATGATATAATGATTAAAAAAAATTAGCTAGACCATTCTGATCACACCTTTAATCCCAGCACATGGGAGGCAGAGTTGGCAGGATATCTGTGAATTTCAGGCCTGACTGGTCTACAGAGCTATTTCTAAGATATTCCATGCTACAGAAAGAAACCCATCTCAAAATTCAAAACAAAATTAAAAATGCTCTTAAGAAATAGAGGAATAAATATGTAATAGCACATGTACTTGACATGTGGAAGGCCTTATTTCAATCCCCAATTCTGCAGATAAGAAGCAAAGAACAATGACAATCAAAAAAATAACAACAAAAGAGGAGGAGGAGGAAGAGGAAGAAGAAGGAAGAAAGAAGAGTTTAACGAGCTCCTAAGTGTGGGTCATGGCAGAGGAAAGCTGTCCAGGATTTGGCCAGCTATTCATAGGCATGTGCTGTTGCCCGGGCCTGTCCTCAGTACCTTCAGGCTTCACGCATTCAAGGTGGTGTCCCCGCTTTACCTTGGATCCTCCTAACACTGCTCCTGTACTTGGGCCTTGTGTGAGCTGCTAAGAGTCCTTGTAAACATCCTATGGGGTGCTTTTAGGAAACAATGGAGAAACTGACTTGGCTGGCTTCTGAAAGGAGCATGAGTCAGGAGGGTGAGTCTGAGGAAGAGAACTCCCAGGAGGAGAACTCCGAGCCAGAAGAAGAAGAGGAAGAGGAGGCAGAAGGGATGGAAGCCTTGCAGAAAGAGGATGAAGTGAATGATGAAGCAGTTGGAGATGCTGCTGAGAAGCCCCTTCTACCTTAGCCTCACCCAAGACTGTTCCAGAAGTAGAGACCAGCATCACCCCACCAGGTGAGTGTAGCTGACCCCTCGGCGGAGAAGTTTCCCTTAACTGCATTGTCCAGAGGACGGCATGCACAGTGTGCAGCGTACAGAGCAGCCGGAGCCTCCAGGGAGGAGGCTTCCCTCACACGCATTAGGGCAGTGTCTTTGAAAAACAAAAGTCAAAGTCAGAGTCTCATCAACCTTCATTTACAGGATGTTGCTGTGTTTTATTTGTGGTTCTTGCCTCTTGTGTGCTTGAGGCTATGAGCTGTTTGGCTTTTGTCTGACCTTCCCATTCATCTCTTCACTAAGATCTGTTATGCCCCATCCTATCATCCTCCCCTGTGCAATCTTCCTCCTTACCTGGATGTTTCTTTTGATAATGTCCTTGATCAGCTGAACCTTGCCCATGCTGGGATCCACTCCAGCCAGTGGCACCATGACTTCCCCGATGACATCATCCCGAGAGAAGCGATCAAAGCTGAGCACAAGAAAATGTAGCACCAGGTCCTGTAGCTGGCTGTATGGGATGCCATAGAAGGTGAAGGTCTCATCAAATACAGGGTCCAGGGTCTTGCGAAGCACGCGGGTCTTCACTCGATGCCTCTTGTCAGGAAGGATCGTCATCTTGATGTAGGGGTCAGAGCCCTGGGTTTGGTCATCCATCACTGGCAGCCCGTGGGCCTCTTGGATTGTCACCACCAGAGCTTTTTTGGGAAAGTTATAGTCCACCGAGAAGGTAAGGGATCCTAGCATCACATCTTCCTCTGGTGATGATGGGGAGGGGGGTTTGCTCTCACCAGGGGTCAGGCTTGTCATGGGACTCCTCAGCTCTTCCCCGTAGTCTCTTTTGATGGGTAACTGGTCTATACAAGATGCAGAGCTAGGCCCTCTGGGGTCCTTTTCTTGGCTCAGCAGGCCAGACTCTGCCGCATTTACTAACAGGTTCCCTCGTGCACTTTCCCTCCAGGGACCATCTTTGTCTCTCCGAACTTTGATGATTTTCTTCTTGTTGCTGAGGGTCTCTGGGTAGATGCTAATGCCTTTCAGCATGTGAATAAACTTGTATGGCGGGGTCTTGTGCTTCTTCTCTGCCTGCTGGTGGCAGCATGTCCACACAAAGACAGTCACAGAAACACACACCACCAGCACAGAGGCACCGATGAGGCCAGCAGCCACTGGTGACACATCTGAAGGCAGAGACCAGAGTTGTGTCAAAACAGGACTTCTGCTCCTGGCAAGGGAGTGCCCCTTGTGGAGCCCAACTAACCCTCAATCCAGCCTCCACAGAGTGAGCCCATCTGGGCTTTGGAGCTTTTTCTGCTCACTGACCAGTTCCCTTGCCTTCATGCTAAAGCCAGGGAACACGTTTGCTTAGCTGCTGTTGTTTGAGACAGGGTTTCACTGTCTAAGCCTGGCTGTGCTGCAACTTGCCGTGTAGACCAGGCTGGCTTTGATCTCACAGAGATCTGTCTGCCTCAGCCTCCCAAATGCTGGGATTAAAGGCATGGCTCACTTAGCTTCTCTATCTACCTGTGTAGTGCCTCATCTGAGTTCTTAAAAATGTACTATTATTGTACATGTATGGGTGTTTTGTCTGCATATGCGTGTGCAGCATATCAGAGCCTGATGTCCATGGAGGGCAGGTGTCTCAGGGAACTGGAGTTACAGATGGTTGTGAGCCACCATGTGGATACTGGGAATTGAACCCAGGACCTCTGGAAGAGCAGCCAGTGCTTTTAACTACGGATCCGTCTTGACAGTCCCTGCCTGATTCTTCTTTTTTAAAACCTCTTTAGCACTTGCAGATTTGATTGTTCAGTTTGATTTGTGCTTCCCAGAAAGCCATGCCCTGAGTGTTGAAGTCTGCCTTTTGTGTAGGAATCTGTTTACCTCATCCATCACATAGAGCATGAGCTGTGTGTTTGGGCTGTGTTGCTGACTGATTGAGAACCATGTGGAAAAGGGTATAGTACTGAGTTTAATTGATCTTTGGAGGGTGACTGGGAGTGGTCAGAGTGGGTATGAAGCTAGATGTATACTGAGCATCATCACAGAACCTTCATCCAGTAGCTGAGGGAAGCAGAGGCAGAGACTCACAGCTAAGCACTGAGCCAAACTGCTGGAATCCAGTTGTAGAGAGAAAGAGTGATGAGCAAAGGGGTCAAGACCATGCTGGGGAAACCCACAGAAACAGCTGACCTCTGCAAGTGGGAGCTCATGGACTCCAGACTGACCGCTGGGGAGCCTGCATAAGATTGATCCAGGCCCCTAAACATGGGTGTCAGTTGTGGGGGGAGGGGGACTTAAGCAGTCTGTGGGGCTATAGACTGTGGAACCAGTATTTATCCCTAGTGCATGAACTAGCTTTTTGGAGCCCATTCCCCATGGAGGGATACTCTCTCAGCCTAGATACAGGGGTGGAGGGCCTTGGTCCTGTCCCAAATGATGTGATGATCCCCCAATGGAGGCCTCACCTTCTCTGAGGCGTGGGTGGGGGGTGGGGTGGGGAAAATGATGGGGGGGGGATTGCAGGACTGGAGGGAGAGGGAACTGGGATTGGTATGTAAAATAAGAGTGTTTTTTAATTTAAATTTTAAAAATTAATTAATAAAAAGAATAGAGTAATGATGGGTGAGTGCCTCATGCCCACAAACACTTCCGAGTCTGAGGCAAGGAGGCTGTTGCAAGTTGAGCACTAGCCTGACTCTAATGTCATCTAGTGTCATCATGTCAGTCTAGATTACCATGAAAGTATCTTAGAAAATGAAGTGTTGGTGGAACAGCTCAGTAGGTAAGGTGCTTGCCACCAGAGGCCTACGCCCGAATTCATCCCCAGAAACACACGGTGGGAAAAGATGACTCCTCCTGCAAGCCCTCTGCCCTGTATATGTTTAGCATGTGTGTGTCTCACCCAACAGCATGAATAAAATAAATATCAAAAATAGAAAAGAAAGAAGGAAAGAAGAGTTCCAGGTCTCTAGACCATGCACTTCTTAACTCACAAGCGTGAGTTACAGTTTATTTTCTTAGTACTTTTAATAGGAAGAAAATATCAAATGCTTGTTCTTCTTTCTTTTCTTTTCTCTTTTTTCTTTCTTTCTTTCTTTCTTTCTTTTTTTTTTTTCCCCCTGTGGTAGGGTGTCTCTGTGGAGCCCTGACTGTCCCAGAACTTGCTTTGTAGTTCAGGCCTTGAATTCACAGAAATGTGGCTGCCTCTGACTTTTGAGAGCTGGGATTGAAGTAATTTGATACTATACCAAGCTCAAATATAATTTTCTTCTAAAACCTTCTTTGAGTACCTTAATTGATTGGCTAGTTGATTGCAGTGCCTTGTTCAGAGCAGCCAGCAGATGGGGCAGTCTACTGCTGAGTGCATTCTTAGTGTTGACAGCTGTATTTTAAAGAGGTGTTTCTCCACCTGTGTGTTGAGACCCCTTTGGTGTCAAACAACCCTTCACAGGTGTTGCCTAAGCCCATCAGAAAATACATTTCTGATGATTAGTGAGACACTTGTCCTCTATTTTTCTCTAGATGGGACTATTCATATGTAGATATACCCACTATGAGTACCTGGTGTGATGATATTATCATGCCATCACCATCACATATACACTGACACAATACAGGTGTATGTGACACGGTTTGTGCCAAATTGTATTTGTGTGGATCTGTCACATGTATAGAGAGCAGCAACTATTGTGTTGAAAGTAGCTGTGTTGGATGTAAAAGTATACTTCATGAAGCATAATTACTTGGCAAACATAAAATCATGTATTATACAATCATCAAGTACTAAAAAAAAGTATATGGCATAGAAACCTAATCTGGATGTTGATTGGTCTTTTCATATTTATCTTTGGTTTATTGAATTATGCACCTTGTGACAGTAATAGGTATCCAAAACAAACAAACAAAAAACCCAGAATGATAAATCATAGAAAAGTTAATGACCTATATTGACTCAAATATGCAATGTATCATCTTTTGTATTATTAAGGCTATTGTTATATATCATTTTCATTAGAAAACCATCCCATGACCATGGATCATGTTGAGAAGAATGGTAAGAAAAGAAAATGTTGTGAGGATTTTTTACAGTATAGTTTTACCTTAATAAGTACAACAGGAATTGAGAAACTGCAATGTGTTATTTGTTGTGAAGTTCCTTCAGGGAAATCTGTGAAGCGGAATAATCTAAACTGTCATTTTGATAGCAAGCATCTGAGCTTTGCTGCCAAGGAGACTAACTATTTTAGAAGCAAAATTGATGGATTCAAGAAGGCCGGACATGACACTTGTGACTAGTACCACAAACAGAATGCAGCAGCCATTGTCGCTTCATATTTGGTCTCGCTCAGAATTGCCAGAGGACACTATTGCTGAGGATTTAAGATATGTTTTGATTTATGATTGGAGAAAGTTTATTACTCAGTTGAAAGAAATTCCCTTAGCTAATGACACTATCTCCAGACAAATAGATGACATGTCTGCTGACATTATG